GAGCGGAGCGTGGGCGTCCGCCGGCTCCGCACCCCGTCTGCCGGGGCTCACGCGACGAGAGGAGACCGAACCCGTCCTCCGGCCACGGCACACGGCGTGGGGATTCCAGTTCTCCCGTTCTCCAGTCCTCCATGTCGTACAGACTTGTCTCCATCCACCAGAGGCAAACGGGAGCATCGCTAGCTGTGCTTCTCCACAGCAGCCAGCTCCTGATAGTCCAAGGACACATCCCACTCCTGGACCGTTTCCAGCTTGCTTCAGATAGAGGGGAGGGAGTCATGCCCTTTAACGCTGCTTAGAAATGTACCTTTGTTGCTGATTTCCATACTCTCTCCCCCCTCCTTTGGCAAATGATCTGAGGAACAACTTGGCTCTTGGGAAGGGGCTGTTGGGGCCTGTCTGCAGAGACAGCCAGACAACTCACCATGCACACACATGAGAAATACCTTTCCCTCCACACCCTGCATTATTAGCTGGTGACACTGCGATTTGCGGTTTCTGCCCGTGACGCAGGTCAGCGCGGAGAGCAAACAGCGGCGCCTGACCATGCCTGCTGCACACATTTTTTGAGCCTTTTTGCTCGTCCTAGGCAGCTGGTATCTCTCCTGAGGCTCTGTTTACACAGGAGCTGTAAATTCCAAACTCGCACTGAAGTTGTCCTCCCTGGCCACAACTGGTTGAGACCTTTATCACAGAAAACATCGTTATCCTTAGCTGCTAAGCTATGTTACTGTCAACTTTGCACTCTTCTTCCCAGTGCTTAGAGACCGAGAGATTTTCTCCTCACATCCTTCATCTGCTTAATGCTAGTCCACATTTTTTCCTGGAGCATCTCCTAATCTTTAAGTTATGCCAGCTAGGAGCCATACCCTGCCCCTTCTGAAGGGTTTGCTAGGCTCTTGGTCACAAAGAACAACACAAAACGTCCTGTGCTTACTGCCTTTTCACATTCCTCCACTCTCGGGTGGTCTCTGAAGCGCAGTGAAGGACTGAATGAGCCCTGAAGCATGAACTCCCTTTTCATTGCTTTTTCGTTACCGAACATCCCTCCCTGCGGATAAAAGAGAGGACTTGTCTCTCCAGGACTGGCAGCCAAGTCCCTTCCAGCAGCAGTCTGCTCACGGGACGGTAGCTGGGCGTCTGGGGCCTCCCGACGTGGACACTGCCCCGCAGCTCTGCTGCCTGGGCAGGGTGAGCAGAGAGCAGGAACAGCAGCAGCTGGGACAAAAAGCCGCAGCGAAAGAGATGCCGACTCCATCAAACACTGCCCGCACAGCTCTGCTTCAGAGCTAACAGAACAAAGCCGTATTAAAATGTAGCCCTGAGCAAGGAGCCTCCTACTTTTAATCACACCTGACTATTTACTTGGAAACGGAAGAAGCATAAAAACGCCCTTTGTGAGAGAAAAAATTTCTCGTGCAATATGACAAAAAGCATTAATAGAACAAAGGTAAAAATGATGATTGTGGAAATTGGCTCAGATTTTAGGAGTGATGAAAATCATCGGGAATGCAACAGAAAAAAAACCTCTGGCAACGCCTCCCGCCCGGGCTATAAAGGGCTCGAGGGCAGGGGAAGCGAGCACTCGCTGCCTGCGCTGCCGAGCCGGGTGCCTCTCCCCAGCCCTCCGGACC